ATATATATATGTACTGAGACAAGTGTTAACAAGCAGCAGAGCAGATGTACCTGATGAAGTTGGACAAGAAGATGGTTCAGGAAACATCAACATTTGAGTTAAAATAACAGCAGACAGTAAACAGTGGCCTCCATGGCACTAGCTGTACTGATGTCACTTTTCCCTTTCCAGATGGGCAAAAGGTAATTTCAGTGTTTATCGAAGGGATTCATGTCATTTGAGCAGAAACACATGATGTTTGTTGGTATTTGCTGTCACAGATGCTGCTTTTGTTTTCGAGCACCTTCCTTGGCGAATCGTGAGTTAAGGCATGAAATTCAATAGATCAGTATTGGCCTCCTTATGATAACTCACTCGACTGCGTGCAGTTTCTGAAGGTTTAACTTTTGCTATGTTAATAAAGATTGAACAAACTTCCCCATGAGGTGTAAATCCACTGACACTTTACGGAGAGGGTTAATTCTTCCTCACTGGCACACCCCCAGGTCTCTGGCTGAAAGGCTTACCTGTTGTCTGTCTTTCCCCAATTACAGCGTTCTCCTGAGTAAGCATACATTAGGTGACTCATCAAAAACGGCTGTCTGCCAGTGCTGGCTGGAACAGTGTATTATTTCAGCATCAGTGTATATTTCAAGCCGAGAGGGGAAGAGTGAAGCCATAAACTTAATGGGTTAGTTCACTCAATAAAGTGGTGACTTGTATGACTTGGAAGGGACCCAGAAATATAACATGCCCTGGAGTGCCGCCGATGGTTTTTCTGTGGGAATTGGAGAGGAGGTGAAAGTGGATCTGCATGTACTTGTGAGTTTTCTTGTCTATAGGACTCGTCTGAGGTACATCTGAAGAGGCTACACTCAGTATTTAATATAGGTGTTCAGATGCGTACATCATACATGTGCATTTATGAGGAAACATCAATCCTCAGTGCGCAGAGATTGTGTGCTTTTGTGTTGCAAACTTAGCAGGCAGATGGAAGATTAAGACAGCACCGTGTTCCTTTGGAGTTTGCTCATGCCTCCGTGTTCTTTTGTGATGGTGCGTGAAACACTCAGTTCGGAGCAGCAGGAGAATGCAGCCTGTCAAGATGAAGTTTTGCAACCACTTGAAGTAAACTGACACTGCGTGGAAATAGAATTGCAATGTTCAAGGCTCCACTGGAAACGAGGTGAAGATAAAACATCTGGGCGTTTAAAAGGCAAATAAGGGGACTGTCAGAAATCATTTTCAACTTAGTTATTCAGCAAATAAAGCCAATAAACACAGCCAGTGCAACAGCTTGACTCATTCATCACAGAGTTGTGTTTCTTTATTGTTATTTTTGGTTGCTCAGATATATCTTTTATATGTGGCGCTAACCTTGAGAGACACACCAAAAAAAAATCAGGCTAAAAAATAAATCCTGGCACGCTGCTTGATGATTTGACCTCCATTAAATTGGGGTTAACTGAGCAGTCACGCACAAGTGAAACGACTGCAAAGAGCAGCCTGGCCTTTGCTAAGTGCCTATAGTGTTCACTGCACTTCACAAGGTCCTTACCTTCACATAAAGATGACTCCATATTTCTTCTTCTTCTTCCCCACATCTTTTTTCAGCTTCTCATCAGTGTTTCCGTCACATTAAATAAAATCCTGTCTGGTTCTGCACAGACGTTATTTCATGTTTGCACGTCTGAGTTTTGTTCCAACCTGCTTGGCCTGTTAGTCCCTCTAGATTGTGTCTCTCCGGCGTTCCTACGAGACAAATCTCATATGCTTTAGATGTTTACATAACCGGATACGCTTGGTGTGCGTGTCTTCTATAAATATTTGCCTGCCTATTGCATTCAGCCTTATAAAATTACATAACAACAATAATGGAAAACAAATGTATCATTTTTCACTTTTCACTGTTTATCTTCTCAATCAATTCCAACTTGCAACTCTTCTTTGTGGTCATTTTTGCAGCCCTTAAGCCACATTTCAAGTCTATTGATTATTTATTACCATGCAGAGCATAAAGCTACTCGGACCAGACCCTTTAATCTCACTGTTATTAGCTGGATTTCGCTGTGCTCTGAAACGCAGCGACTGAGCAGTGTGCTTGTCTGTCTGTCCCTCTGAATTCATGTTGGCTTGCCTTTCCCTGGAATCCCTCTGCATATCAATGACTTCATGTCAAAACAAGCCCCAAATCCTCTGCTGTGTGCGAGTGAGAGCGTCATAAGGATGGAAGACTCTTGTAGGCTTATGCAGCGCACATATCTGTGCAGACAGAGGGAAATGGAGCCTGCCTGTGTGTGTCCCTGTGTGTGTGTTTGAGTATATCTGTGAGCTTGAATGACTGTCCATAAGCTCCTTTCCACAGACTGGAGGTCCAGTGTTTCTCTCTGATCATTCCTGGCAGGCTGGTCAAGTGCATAGAGATTTCACTCAAGTAAGAAGGAAAAAAAAAAACATGAAAGCGAGTGAGCGAGCATGTGGTGCAAACATTTCACTGACACACTACCTGCTCCGTGAATTTCAAACATGGAAAGACGGCACAGAAGGAGGGGGGGGGGAGAAGCCCCGGGAAGCCTAAAGCTGTGTTGGCCCAACTACAGTCTACAGTCAGCTAATGTGGCTTCTTGGCAGCCGTTAAAGGCGGTGAGTGGCTCTCCTTAAATTTTGAGACTGCTGCACGTAAAAAGCAAAAACACGGATTCAATTAACATTACGGATGGCTTCGTTTCATTCATGCGAATCAGTGTCAGGGTCCAGGAATTACCACTTAACACGGAACACAGACTTATCCTTGAAGTGATCTCATCTGCTTTGATTAGTCAGACGATTAGAAGAAATGCGATCAAAAGCATTCCTGCCATGTAAGTGAATTCTTTTAATCACACTACACTCAGACCTCAGTAAATGTTCTGATTTTTTAAAAATAATACTTTAATAAATGCTAACTTATTATGTGCTTTAACAAAAAAAAATTTAAATATTTTTCCAACAAATTTAACAAAAAATTCTCATTTATATCTGCAGTCCCTGGGTGGAGTCTTTCAATAAATGAAATATTCAATATTTTTTTAAAAATAAAATAAAATAAAATAAAAAACAAGTAATAGTCAGAAGACAGTCATTTTCTGAGCTAAGATGGGGTGTTATGTTGTAGATTGAAGTACCAAAGATAAGTTTGAACATTTCTTAAAGCAATATTAAAACCAATAGAATCGTAATGACGCTGTTTCAGTTTTTAAAAAGTAAGAAAATAACGTTGAAAAAAACTTTTTTAAATTTATAATATAATATAATGTTTTTAAATGTGTGTACATGGCAAGGCTACATTTACTAAGCCATGTTAAATTCTCTTTTTGCGCTTGTTGGTTTTAGTTGTTACAGTATAGTTTATTATATATTTACTTAATTACAAAAAAATCTGGAATAAATAAATAAATGCAGAAATTGAGACATTAGATATAAATGTAAGAGAAAGCTCTCTAGATTATCTGAGAGGGATAATAATTACTGTCCATTACTGCCTGACTGTGGAGGGCCAAGAGTCCCAGAATGCAATAAATAAATACAAAATTAAACAATTAATTAAATGCATTGATAACAAATTTTAATTTATTTAAATAAATAATGACAAAAATTCAATTAAATTCACAATTTAAAAAAAAATTCTGGTTCGTTTGCTGTTACTTGCATAGCCAGCGAAGATAGATCGATACCAGATAATTGTTTGATGCGTCATCACAGAATTATTAGTGATGTGTGCAGTCAGGTATCCCAGAAAGCATTTTGAACAAAACTAGTTGCCTTTTATAGCTGAGCAACTTGACGGAGTGGTTATAAAACTGTATAAATATTTAAAAAAAACAAAAAAAAAACACAGGTAATTACATCTCCTTTTTTTTCTTCATTGTAAATACTAAGCACCTGATGTCATCAGTTATGCTGCTGGCGCACTGTAAGCTCTGTCTTCTGCCCTACTTGCCAAGTGGGAAGTAACAAGTGTGCAAGTACAAACTCTGTGTACTTGTCACTGAGAAACACCCACTGAAAGAAACAACTCCACACCAAAACAGTGGGTTTAACTATATCGGCTTTAACCCCACTCCCCGACTTTAATGGGTGAGACTGACACAATAAATTCATGAACCATAAAATAATCAATTAGATAGTAAAATAATATTATTGATTTTTAAATAAAATGAATTTATATGTTAATTTATTAATTATTCGATACATTATTTCTTAATTATGGCACTTCATAGTATCTCTGAAGCACACTGCATATGAAATATTGAGAGTTGCTGTTCACGTTTGGATGTAAACCACCGCTCTGCTCCACCACTGCGTGGCGCTGTGGAACACAAGCAGGGCTGTAAGACGACTTCAAAGACCCGCTTGAAAGGACAGGAAGTCGCTTTTGTTGTCTTGGCCGAGGGAGAGCAAGATGTCTTCCCTGGACGTTCAGGATTTTATCCAGCAAAACCGAGCTGTGGCCGAGCAGGTGGAGAACTACAGAGGCTACTGGGAGAGCGACAAGCACTGGGAGCCCAGGCGGGAGTTCATCCTGCGGAACTTGAACGACTTTGAAGACTCGCAGCTGGACCACCTGCTCTCCCTCTCAATGGTGTGGGCCAACAACGTCTTCCTCGGCTGCCGGTGGGTAAACACAGCGTGCTTTCATGCCTCTAATTAAAGCCTGCTGACGGACACTTTTTCTAAGACAGCCGCTCCACAGCTCCCTCAGCCCGGGATGACTAACCACTGTTTTTAAGTTTAGTCTTCCTTAATAAACAAACTAAAGGGTTGCTAAAGGGTAACAACCAGTGTTCTCTTTTCTCTGATATTATTGTTAGTTTAATTTTAGATTTAGTATTTACTTACTTACTTGTTGTTGTTGTTGTTCCTGCTGCTTACTTACCCCAAACTATTTATATTCAGAGTTTATTGTTTATAGTGAGGTTTATTTTCCGCTGGTGGGCTCGGTGCTGCCCCCTGCAGCACTGGAGTCGTCTGCATAAGCTGCAATGCTACTCTGCTACATTTGCTGCAGACGATGCTGAGTTTGTAAAGATTTGTAAAGATATCCTGCTGGATAAATTATGTGGTTATACATTTTTTAATAGCCCTAAAAATTGTGGTTCAGGGAAAAAAATATAATGTATGTATAATGGAAATATCGAATGCAATATTGCATTGATATCAGTATATCAGATGTTTGTGCCGGCTACTGGACAACATCCAGTCTTTCTTCACTGGAAAAACAGTCTTTGGTTATCAAGTGGGTCTCTTTATAAAGTTACAGGCCTTGTTTTCAATTTAACCTATTTTTGTTACTGTTTGTGGTGGCATCTTATGTTTTTATATATGGTGTATATTGTAAAAATTCTGCCACATAAGAAATTGAAACCCTACGATTTAGCGATCCTCTAACCCCAAGCACTTGGCCAAAGTTGAGGGGAAAATCTGCCCTTAAAAATCTCCTCTGACTGGTTGCAGTGTTGTGAAAAACTATTTAAAATGATAAGTGATTTCTTGATTCAAAAGGTCTGGTAGTAGTCAGGTCTGGGTAACCCACTCTCCAAATTTATGTTAAGCGTGTGCGGGCAGATATAGCTTGCAACCTTGCAACAGCAAGTATGGATGTGCAATCCCAGAGAAGCTACACTACCTGTGCAATGTGAATGGGCTTCATGGTTCTGCCTCACTCTACTAACAATTACATGGATGTTAGCAAAAAGCAGAACTAGGGTGGGCTGTCTTTTTGTTGCCTCTCCAGTGCACATGTCACTTTCTTTTGCAACAAAGCAGGTTTCTTCTTCAGGGCTGACTAGATTGATTTACTGACATTTGTGATATACTGTGATTATGAAATGCATGCCTGACTTGATATGAATGATTTGGACTCTTAGACAGAAACTGTTTTTTGTTTTTCCAGTTATTTAAAACAAAATCTGTATTTTTTGTTACACACCAAACAACTTAACAGATCGACTTGTCATTGTAGTAATCTGTAATTGCAGCCACTGGGGTCTGCGACTGGTATTAGCTTTTGGATAGCAATAAACCCACAAAATTGGATTTTCATTTCAGTGAGTTTGAGGGCGCTCGAGGAGCAGCGCTGGCTGTTGAAGTGCATATTGGATGTCTTCTGTGATTACACCTTCTAAAAGACATTAATCCTCGGAATTGGTATAGGGTGCAATCATGCAAAAATGCCAGATAAAAGGGTATCACTATTTTTTCATCCATAAGTTTGCACTCAAAGGTGAATCAGAAGCAGGACTAAATTTCATTTATATGAAGGGAAATGTGTAGGAGGTGAAGAAACCATTCACATCTGTTAACTTTATCGAAGAATAAACAATTCTCTTACCAGTATTATAGTTTTCTGTTGTTCAGTGATGTTACTTTCCCAGTGCACTATATCCTTACAGAAGAATATAAAGCACATGGATGAATTCTGGTTTAATGAAGTGTTATGTCTCATAATCGATGGCAGGTATAGCACAGAGCTGCTGGAAAAAGTGAAGGAAATGGCTGAAGGCATCGTAGTGGAGGACGCACCGGTCTTCAAGACGAGAGATGAGATTGTTAAGAAGCAACAGGTATGTCTGTGAACACACACACGCAGCATATACATACAGCTATAATGACAGTCTTTGTTCATGGATCTCTCTGCTCCGTCACAGGGTCGATGACCGGACCAGTCATGCTGGATCAACACAGACTGGATTCAGCTTTTATCACGTCAGACTATTTTTTTTTTTTTTTTTAAATAGTTTTACAATCCTGGTGTTTTTAACCCTTACCTTACCCTAACCCTAACCCTTTGTGAGGAGTTCAGACATCAAAAGACATTTTTATTTTGAGCCAAAAAACTGGCCTTTTCAGACTTTCAGCCTTTTTTATTTGTGCACAAACAGCAGCGGTGTCTGCGGGAGTTTGTGAGCCCCACTGCTCGACTATTTCAATCACAGTTTTACTTTTTTTTTTTTTTTTAAAAATGTGTTTTTTAAATGTAGCTTCAAACTAAAGATGACACTGGTGTTCTTGTCTGAAGCACAATAAAGAACTTGTTTTATCATTTTTGTGTGGTCATTGCTGTCTAGGTCTGTGCCTCCTCCTGGTCACATTGTTTTTGACTACATTATGGAGCCACTCCATAGTTAATCATATACGGCAATAAAATACAAATACTGCTACTTATAACTATGTCGGTTCAACGAGCGCTCCGACATGTAGAAAAGTGAACTTTAGTTAAAAGTAAAGCTACAGAGGTTAACATGAAAGCCGTTAACTTACTCTGGCACGGTGTGTTGGCAGCTGTCTTATTTTACATGGCAGCAATACCTGCAGCAAGCAGGGGTGACTCTAAAGGGTGCACTAGACCATATTTACTTGAAGGCTTTAGCAACATTATTTTGCAGATTTCTCTGAATACATTAAAACAATTTAATCAATATGTTTCAAAATATGAAAATTAAAGCTTTTTTGCAGACCAGTGAAAATATAGGTCAGTAAAACTCTTGAGCAGCTGACCTGACCTGGGGCTGTGAGGCTGAACACTCGATTATTATTAACATTAATTATTAACATGTGCACCGTCAGAACGTCTGTTTTCTTCAGCAGGAAGCTTTGCAAAAGCACAGGGCAAGCCTCAGTTCTGAGAATGCTGATATAATTGCTTCTCTTCATTACAACCACCACATTCTCCTTTAAAGGCTTACAGACACGCATACCAAGTGATTCACAAGCAAAGTTAAACACGCAGACATGCACTCACCAAACTGACTTCATCCCACAGATTCAATTCTGTGAGAACTGTTTTTTAGTTCTACTAATATATGAGAGCTTCCCAAGGGACTATTTCATCTTAAGCCACGGTTTAGTGGCTTAACATTAACATTTTGGGACATTACTGTACTTGTGATTCATTTTTGCATTTAATAAAATCTGATTTAATATGCCACACAAATACAATGAATGGATTTAGTTTTTGGCAATATTTACTATTGCTCATTAATAACAGTACATCTTATCAATTAATCAATCACTGCAGTACTAATCTCAAGTTTTGATGAAGCTCGCATTGATTTTGGTACGAGCAGCGTAAAGACAGAGGCTCAGCAAACATGCCAGAAATGTTGCAATATCTTGCTTTAACTAAGTTACATGACAATATGAAAAACTACAATACTCGGTGTAATAGTTCCACCCTATAGTTAATTATGAGACCGGCTGGATGAATAAATGACCACAACCTGTGTCAAAGTCTGAAAAATGTGTTTTTTTTATTATGTTTATACAGCATATCGTTAAGTATACATTATGTTTATTTCACAAAATTGTTTTTTATAACATATCCCTTCTGCTTATTGGGTGAGATAAGTCACAAGCCACAATATAACCTTTATTATCAAGGAAAAGAGGAATTCTGGTTTATGATGACTGATTACTTAGCCGGAGTCGGGCAGGTTAAGTGAGTAATTTACACTCGAGGGATGGCGTTTTTAAATGGGGGAATAAGAGCAAATAAAATGGTGGGCAAAAAGCAGGCATGAAAACAACTTGAGCCCTTAGGAAAACAGTTGACATCACACTCTTAGAACAGGCTTTATGATCTTTGCAGCAGTTTGTTCTTATCCAATCAATTCTCTTATAAAGTGCCCAAAAATTATAGGGGGAAAAAAAACATATGAAGCTTTCATTCTCTGCTTATTTGCTAATTCAGATGTCAGCTGTGTCATTTTTAAGAGAAAGAACAAAAGCACCGACTGTGTTCAGGCTGACACATGTCACAGGCGACAAAGCATTCAGAAGTCATTTACTTTCTTTGACAAACTAAATGAGAAAACCAAGAGGAGAACAGTTTGACTGCAAACAGTAAAAAGGTTCAATAAATAGAAAAAAGCAGACTAAAGAAACACACGATGTAGAAGCAGAGTACCTCCAGCAATGCCAATTCTGTCCCCATCCCCCCCACATCGAATGATACAGCGACACCACCCACATCTGAACTCGCTGGCTAGGGGCCATCAGGCCTTACATATATTTTGATTATAGCATTATATGCGGTTTCTAATATACCAAAGAATGAAACTGTCGGGGACTGCAGAGCCTCAGTCCAAGTTTTTCGTGTTAATATTCACTTTCTCATAACCCTCTCAAACAACCTTCTTCTACCCGCGAGCAGAAATGATTAAAAGAAAAGCTCAGAGATTGCCAGTCATGATTCATCAGTGCAAGGGAGACTTGGCACTGCTGCAGCCTGTGACGTCTGCGAGCCCAAACCTACAGCATCTCTTAAAATAAACAGAGAGATGCTGGAAGAGATCAGGGACTGCTCTTTATCAGCTGAATCTGCTGTAGACTTCAAAGATGACGATGATGGTGATGATGCTACCGATTCTGGCTTTTCCCACGACTTTCAAAATAATGATTCAGTCATTGATGTGCCCCTTTCTTAGCCAAGTTGTGGATACAAAAAAAAGAAAAGAAAAAAAAGAGGGGATGGGAAGGAGTCTGTGAAACACAAACAGCATCATTCCAACCAGAGATATATTACAAATTCTGTTAGCAATAACTTATGTCACATCATGCAATAAAAAAATAAAATAAAAGTAAAGACAGGGAACAAATACAAGATTGATTTCCCCTCTCCTGTTTCCCTAAAATGCATTGGCAAGCAAGGTAATGTCCATTCTGGTTTGGTTGTTCTTGCCCCCCTCCCCCCCAGTGTGGCACTTAAGTTCTTCTGATATAGTTGCTGTGTTTTCTTTTTTCTTGATTTTTTTTCTCGATGAGGTAAAAATGAGAGGCTGAAGTACTTGGATGGTGAAGAGTGGGTGATGGAGAGAAGAGCAGAGAGCAAGAGGAGCTCAGACATCCACCCAGCTCTGCTCCACGATGGCCGTCACCCTCTTCTCGTACTCTCTCTTGTTTTCCTGATAGAGCTGTGCGGCCTGACTGTTGGCTGGGCTGTTGGGGTTTGGCTCGTCCAGCAATGACTGCGAGAGAGAAAAAGGAAGACTAATGATGAAAATGTTGACATCCTGAAGGTTAAATAACCAGGAGAGATACTTCGGATGTCCCTGTATAGAATCAACATGCTTCACCGTGAATTAAAACGTATGAAAAGGGAGTGAAACACGACCAACCTGGATGGAGGTGAGTATGGACGACACATCGTATGTGGGGCTCCAGCGATTCTGAAGTATGTCTAAACATATACTGCCATCTGCGTAAACTGACATGCAGAGAAAAAGATCAGCAACACATTTACAACTAAAGCTAATGAGGAATGTATCCGTGACCATTCATTTTATGCTAATGTGCTTTATATTTAATGCTGTATGCTTTCATATTTATTTGTTGCCCCTTGTTTTCTCATTGTACTGTTTTTGTTTGACCTGCCAGAGGCTACAGATTAAATATAGACATTATTGTGCGCCGTCCCTTTAATAAATACATGACACTTTTTTTAATTAAACATTTAAATTGAATTTAAATCATCAAGACAGTTTCTTTACATTACTGGTGAAGTACATTGTAATCTGGTGCTTGTTCTTATTGTAGCACTGCAAACTGAAAACTTAAAAATAAAACAAAGCCATAAATAAGTCTAACATATTACGTACATAACTCATCACAATGCCGGCATCCACCAAGGTTATTATAGTTCATAAAAATGTGTGAAAATACATTTTAGGCTCTGATGCATGTTTATTGAGACTGCGAGATCTGGAAGACTGGGTCTACCACCAGAAACTGAATAAAATAACAAACCATTAAAAAGGAAAATTGACAAATTTACAACATGTTTAGCAAGAGTTGGATATTTATTCTGAGTAAAAATGTAAAAAAGTTAAACATTCTTACAATTTCATTTTTAAACAGAGGATTGGGCCGCTGGTATAAACCTAGTGGAAAGTTGCAGTGGTTCATTTTTGCTCCTGGAATTTATTTTAACTCTTTAAAAGAAAAAAAAATATATATATATATATTAACACTGTAGGGTTTCATTTAATAGCTACAGAAGTCTTGATGTGTGTTTATTTGCACAAAATATATTAAATATTACACAATCATCTACAAAAATCTACAATTTTTTTAGATTGGGTTTAAAACTGAAGCATAGGGGTGCTGGTTTATCTGGCTGGATTAGCTCACTGGTTCAGCATGTGACTCATTTGGCATAAGGTTAATGTGGAGGCCGCCCTGATGCCATTTACTGTTCTTTCTTTCAGCTTTCCTGACGCCTTTCTACCTGCTACAATAAAAGCTAGATGCAGATAAAGTCTTCAGTCTTTAAACTTGTAGACTTTACTGCAGGCTGTCCACTCTCCTTCTATGAGATATACCTGTAGCCTATAGACAGGGATGAGGTTACACTGTAAAATATAAATCTACTCATAGATTGTGCAACATTCTTATAGATTTAGTGTAGAAGGTAATTAAAATAGCCAGTAAAAGTCTGATCTACTGGCCTGGCAGCCAAAATGTGTTATGTTGAACACTTATTCTAGTATACTTCAACACATAGATCACATAAACATACCTGAAGTTTTAAAATCTATTTTTATATTATATATATTGTAACAAAGATGTTTTCTAAAGAAATAAAAGGCAATGATTATGTAAATAATTTAAATTTTTATTCCTACAATTTGTTTTTTAGCACAATTTTATATAAACCCGATTGAAAAAGTAACATTTTAGATGATCTGTAACAGATAAAGGATATAGTATAGATATAATACAAATACACACAAATAGAGCCATTACAAAAAAGTATTTCTGTATCAACTATAATGTGTTCAGAAATGACCCCACACTGTCATTTTATTCACTAGACTAGCTTAGTTGCTTGAAGGTCAGAACACTTTGTAAGCTTCAGTGAACATGGGTGCTGCACCACTGATAATTGAGGGCATTTCAGCTGCTAGCCCACTTACCATTTGGGTGAAACATTCTGGAGACAAACCGAACCGTGGGAGGCTTGTTTGGGTACTCCTCAGAAAACTCTATCAGAAGCTTAAATGTTCCTGCAGAGATAGACGGAGAGGGTATGAGGCAGAACAAATG